TCTGTAGGCAAGGTTACTAGGACTAGTGTAAGCCTAACGGAGGGAGACGAATTCGGAGAGAATGAGAATGGTTTACGCACCGCAAATTCCTTCTTGTAATAATGAAAGTATGGATGCCGAGTTGACTCAAAATGAAAGAAGCAAAGAAAACCACCAATTGAGCCCTTAACAAAGGCCGTCTCCGTTTCTCTTTGGTATGCAGGTAGTTGGACGAGTTTTCTGGAATTGCTTGCTCCATGGCTGTACTAACCTGCACATATCTGCTTTACTCACCACGTCGTAATCCACGTTGCGTGTCACAGGGTATGCGCGAGGAATCTCGTCCATTTGCTCTCATTTACTCACAATCAGTTTGCTCTCTTTGTGAGGTCCTAGCGCCTTTTTCGCTCTTCTTGGAGTCGCAACGGCGGCACTTCTGCATATTCGTGGGCAACCATCCTACCCACAAAATAAATTGTTCCACACTACCTCACCTGGGTTTGTTGCTTCGAACGATCTTCTATGGAAGTTCAGGGAACCTAATCCTATTATTATTGTCCTATCTGTAGCCTTCTGTCCAGTGCTCACTGTGCTGTTTTCCGAAGTCCAGAAGGGTAGGTAGAGTTGTGTGTAACCGATTTCCTTTCACGAATGAGCCACAAATTCGCCCTTTATGAAACTTTGTACGCAAATTGGGGCAGCTTCGTAGAAGCATTATTACACGTATTATGCAAGCACCTGTCCAAACTATATTAGCTCTTATTCCCTCGCATCTTGGCAAGCCGGCACATAAACATTAGTCTGGGTGAGATTCGAGCAGAGATTTTACCCTCGAGGCTTGTGCATGGTAGATGACGCCACTTGTAACCGTAGCGCTTCCTCCTTTGCTTATTGCTTTTGTCAGTTTTTGCTGTAAGACATTAGCAAGCTCCTTTGCCACAATTAGTTAAGACGAGGCAGCTGACAAAGAGGTAGTAATTCACTCGTTAGCTCTATAAATCCTCCCTGTTTCTACTTCACTCTACCGTCAATTTACCTGATTTATTGACAACAGAAGGGAAAGATAGTTAACTTTTAATTTCTGATTGGCTGTTTTCAGACCGACCAACTACAATTCACATCAAGGCGTACTACTGTGCAAGGTTCATATGCTTGAAGTGTTCCATCCGGAAATCGCAAAAACCATGGATCCAGCGAACACTGAGGGTGAGTGCGACTGAATGACCGGCGCGCATTCGCTGTGAGTGAATAGCCGCGATGAATAATGAAGGATCGCATGACTGAATGAATTAATTACTATCGACATCGCTTTTCAATTATGCGATAGAAGTGAGACGGTCTTCAAAAGGTCTGTGATGGCAGGAAACGCCGCCAGAAAATTTCTAAATAAAAGCACAAACGAGAGTGGCGGAAAGCAGTACCAAACGAAATAGATCAACGAAGAAGCGCTTGGCATGGTTTAAAGGAATCTTGCGCGGAAAAATCATGATTCTATTTCAGCCATAAATCACTGGCTTGAGACTCATTATCCACGATAATAGTGAAAAGAACTGAAGTATTGCTTTCGTTTTGATTAGAAATTCGAAAACTCGAAAAGGCTGCTACGCGTTCGAATTGCCCACGGACGTCTTTCACGAATGCTGGCGACGGGGATGCTCAAACTTGGTTCTTGGAGTGCATTCACTAGAAGCTCTTTCTGGCCTTCTGCTTCGTTGCATTCACATCTTACACTTCTACTCCATCCTATTCCATCGATCGATTTGTCTCCACTCTCCGAAATCGCGCGCTTTAACCCGATTCTCTCATTGCGTCGCCTGGTACGTAGCCGGCCAAACGCCGTCTTCTTTCCATGCCTCGCCTGGCTCTGCCTCCTGGTCCTTCGATGTCTCTTCAGAAACCGAATCTTCATGCGTGAAACTTTGTGTGCTATTTCCAGTGATCACAACTGACATATTCATGTTAGGAAAGAGTGCAAGAATTTTCCGCGCAAGATTCCTTTAAAATGCTAATGTATGCTCGCGAGTTATTAACGAAGCCCTCT